AGAAAGGACCATTCGCTGACAGGGGTAGCTAGCTATCTGCACAGCCCCCCTCGATGACTCTTACCCAACGCGCATGCAGGTGAAGGAAAGAGTCATCGCAACTATGTAGCGTGTAGATCGAGCACCTGACTCCGCGTCGCGCGAACAGTGAGAAACACGCTCGACGCGACTTCCCAAATAAAAAGCCAGTCGCGCCGCGCAATTATGGATCCGACAAAATCATATCTTGCGCGACATTCTCTCTACTCACCTCGCTTTGGAAAGAAATCCACGTCTTTCTTGTCCCCCAATTGATCTCTCTGCTAGATCAGCTACTCAATTGAAACACCTAGCTCGGCCCACACCACAAGAATTACCAGCGCTCGCACCGCTACCGCCCTACTGAACGATCAAGCGCATTGCAATCCCGCAACTATTCCCAATTCCTAGAAGCCAATTGATCGCTTAAGAAAGGATATTTATCGCACAATGGCAAATCCACTCAGCAAGTTTACCATAGCTGTTAGCGGCTCACAGAAAGGATATACTCAAGGTAAGATTGACACCAAATTTGCAAAACAATAGGGTTTGTAGTGTATCTAACCTACCTCTTAAACTAGGAGCTCTCGAGTCTTTAATAACTAGCAATGGAGGAGCTTTCGTAAAAACCATTGAGCCTGAAACCACTCACCTCGTTACCACCCAGGCCGACGTAGACAAGCGGTCCGCAAAAGGTGCCACAAAAATCATTGCAACCGATTGGAGGATTGTCCTCTGCGATTAAGTTTATATGACTGACTTATTGGTTTTGCGAAAATAGTACGATCTGCGCAAGCTGCTGGTATATATGTCGTATCACTCGACTGGCTTCTTGAATCCATAGAGTCCAAGAAAGCTCTCGCGGAAACAGGTTATGTTTTTGGTTCTACTCAACCAGCCCCTACCACTACCACGGTTGCCGGAAAGTCGACAGATGACTCGGGTCCTGCTCCACCTCCTAGAAGGATGTCCAAACGTACCGCCTCTAATCTGAAGGATATGGCAAAGAATGAGGACCAGGAGGAAGAAGAAAAGCCGGCGCCCAAGAAGACAAGAGGTAGCCAGAGCAAGAACTCGAAGAACGAAGACCAAGATGTGGATATGGAAGATGCACCCCCGAAGGCGGCAACAGATGGAGTAAAGACAGTCAAGGAGGAGGATGAAGAGGATACAAAGGAAGCGGCGAAGCCGGCGGAGAAAAAGACCAAAGCTTCGACAAAAGGCAAGGGAAAAGCCAAGAAGGAACCCGCCCCAGAGCCAGAGGAAGTAAAGCCTAAAATGAAGACTGTGATAAAGAAAGGCAAAGCTCCAGTCGACGAATACTGTCCAATAGCCAGTATGTTTCCCTCGATCTTTTCTGAGTCTGTCGAATAAGGCGCTCTTACTTACTATATTCGATTGGTTCTATAGACACAGTCCATGTTTATGTGGATGGAGCTGGCGTTGTTTACGATGCAACTCTTAACCAGACTGACATTGGGAATAATAACAACAAGTTTTACTATTGCCAGGTAACAGATTTCGAAGCCTTGGATTTGAATGACAATGACTGATATATCATTAGTTGCTCGAGTCGGATCCGAACATGAACAAATCCTACAATTACTCTGTTTGGGTCCGCTTTGGCCGTGTTGGCGAGAGAGGGCAAACAAAAATGTATGTTGAGGGTGTAGGTCACCATCAGGCTCTAGCAGTATTCCAAAAACAGTTCAGGAGCAAGACTGGTCAGAGTTGGGAAAACCGTGCGGATGCCCATGGTGGACCTAAAAAATATGCATTCTTGGAGAGAAATTATGACGAGGCCGAAGAAGAAGATGCAGATGAAGATGCTGGAGGTTCGGCCGGGGGGGAAGCCGCAAAGTTGGTGAGGAGTAGCTTGGCTAAGCCCCTTCAAAACCTGATGCAGTTGATTTTCAATACAGATATCATGTATGTTGTATCCACCCCTCTGGTTTTTCTTACCCAGGCTTTCCAGAATATATCTAATCTCTTTCCAAAGGCAACAATCCATGGCGTCTATGTCTTATGACAGCAACAAACTCCCTCTCGGAAAACTATCGAAGGAGGTTATCTCTCGTGGATACCAAACCTTGAAGGACATCGGTGAAGTCATTGAACAGAGGCCGGGCTATCTCCAAAAGTTCTCGGATTTTGGTAGCAACCGCGTGGAAATCTTAAACCGTTTATCCAATAGATATTATACTGTCATTCCGCATAGTTTTGGCAGAAACGTTCCCCCTGTCATCGATAGCGGCCCCAAATTAAAGAGGGAGGTTGAGCTGATTGAGAATCTCGGTGATATGGCTCTAACAACCAAGATAATGAATGATACGAGAGTTACTAGTGCTGACGGCATTCATCCGTTGGATAAACAATTCAATAGTCTGGGTCTTAACGAAGCTATTCCCCGTATGTTCCCTATATTCCTACCTTGTCCATCGCTAACGGAATCAATGGTTAGTGGACAAATACACTTCGGAGTTCAAGAACCTCGAAGCCTATGTTAAAAAAACACAAGGAAAGACTCATCGCATGGGCTTGACAGTGGAGGAAATTTTCCGTGTCACCCGCTCAGTAGAGGAGGAACATTGGCAAAACGCTGGCTGGGACAAACTTGCTTCTGATAACCGTTACCTTCTTTGGCACGGTTCCAGAACAACCAATTTTGCGGGAATTCTAAGCCAAGGGCTGCGTATTGCCCCACCAGAAGCGCCAGTGAATGGTTATATGTTCGGAAAAGGCATATACCTTGCTGATATTGTTTCTAAGAGTGCAAACTACTGTTGCGCGGGAGTCAGTTCTTCCTTTTCTCCCTTTACAAGTCTGCTTCTTCATGCGATAGTAGAATTCTTTCTAACAGTTTTTCCTAATAGGCTTCTAATAACACAGGACTCTTACTCCTTTGTGAGGCACAGCTTGGGGACCCCATGTTCGAATTAAGCGGATCAGATTATTATGCTGCCGAAAACTGCGCCAAGGCAAATGCGCTCGCTACCAAAGGACTCGGTCGATCTGTGCCTCTTAAATGGGAAGATGCTAGTGTGGTCAATGAGAATTTGAAAGGAATTAAAATGGTCTGTTTTGCTCTTTACAGTTCTTTTGGGTTTTAATTCTGATTTAAGAAAATAGCCTGCGGTTACCGCGCCCGAGGCCAATATCACAGGAGATGACCCTACCATAAAACAAGGAAACTATCGATCTTTGCAGTATAACGAGGTATGTACTCACTTGGGAGAAACTATAGCTTCGTTATCCTTACTGACTTGCGATAGTACATTGTATACAAAACGAGTCAGGTCAAGATCAGATATCTTTTCCGGTGCAAGTTCAATTAATCCATATGCATTTGTTGGCATATGCAAGGGAAAACTAAACCATTTCTCTCTTCAATGCGTTTCCTTATAATTTTACTTGTTCGTTTTATGAGTAAACCTTTCTGTAAAATAAATAAACACTTTTTGGTTTCGAGAAAGCCTTGATAGATACATGTACATTAAGTACATCCATCATGGTAATACAGCTCACTCTTGTACAGTAGGAAAGAATCAGCTCAAACTGATTTAAACTTTCTAGATAAGATATAAGTCATTGCTCAATCTCTTTGCAGATTACTGTACCGCCTGGTTGGGAATGGGGAGAAATGGCCTTAAAAGTGTGTCTCCCGTCCACCGCTTGGTTTCCTGCTACCACTAGATATTGGAGTACATAAGTTTGAAGGAGTCCCAATAATTGGAGCGATCAAAGTCGATTGAGTAGGTGAAACAACTCATAGAGTTGTCGGCATCGCTAGTAATTCGACAGTACTTCATGGATTCTGGTTCGGAGCTAAACACGGAGTAGGACTCGTTAGATACAAGTAGTATTGACAAAGGGCTTGGCTAGCTTGCTGGCAACTACATCTAACTACATGTTAACCGTTGACCTCCACCATCTTGTCTATTCCCAAGCCTAGGACTTCTGACTACATGTAGGTACTTAGATGCTGGAACTGTCAACTACATGTAGCTACCTGCAGGCACGGTACCTATCTAGTGTGTCCCCTGAACGGTTAGTTCGGGCTCTGCGTGTTCGTTCTACCTACAATCTATTATCGGAGCTTGCCAAGTACTCGCCAAAAAAATAAAGTCTGGCGGTGAAATAAGTACCGTTAGTTGCAACGCAGCCATTCGGCCAGGTACTTAATTCACCCACAGACTTCATTTCTTAGCGACTCGTAGTGATGGGCACGAGACAAGACGAGACTTGGGCAAGTCTCGTCTCGTCTTGTATTGTTCGAACTGAGTCTTGAAAATCTCGAGACAATGGCTAGTCTCGTCAAAGTCTTGAGACTTTACGCTATGTGACCTTAGGGTTGGGAAAGCTACGCTATTATGCTAATTAATGCAAATCAAAAGTCCAGATTCTGTTCATTTTTTTTTTTTTTTTTTTTTAAGGAACTGAGGCTGTAGAGCATATTTAGAAGTTAAAAAGGTCTCGACTCTCTCAAGACAACTTGTCTCGTCGCCATCACTATAATGCCAAGGCATTCGCTGGATGTAAAAGCTTTTCAACACCTCTCCCCGAAATGCTACCAATCCAACACGATTATAAAAGAATCCACCATGGAATTTCTGCCAGTTGAGCTGGTTGAGAGAATACTTTCCCTTGCAAACCTTTCACACGCTGAGAACCTATCCTGCAGGCTTGTGTGTCGAGGGTTCTGCTCGATTGTCAGTCCCACGGCCTTTAGCCGCGTACGGATCTCAAAGCTCACCCGAGACGCCTTTGATGGGATCGTGAATCTTTCGCAAAGCCAGCTTGCTTCTTACGTAGTCGACTTCGAGTATAAAGTCATACGTTTTATTTCATCAAGTACTTATATGTCCCAGCCATTCGCCTAGGGCGCATGAACAATTGACTAATTCGAAACGGAAGAGGATATCCATGACGTGGACTCACTGATACAATTATCGGACGAATCCGATACGCTCTCAATTCAGGATATGGCCAATTCCCTTGTGGAGCACCACAAAAACCATCTCCATCAAGTGGATGTTCTCGGGACATTCTACGATATTATCTCTCTCTCGAAAGCCTTGCCAGCATTTACGAACCTGAAGTCAGTTACCATCTCTACTTTCGATGGCTCTTTTGAACTCCCCCCACCGCTCGGAGTTGCGGAAGCGACAACACGTGCCTTTTGGGCTGTCATAAAGGCACTCAACAACTGCGCGTATCAGATTGAATCATTCAGTGTCGATTCGGTCTCCAAATTAAGCATTCCATCATCGAAGCTGGCACAGATTCACGAAGTATTTGAAGGCTTGACTCATCTTTCGATTAGAATATATGGACAGCTGAGCTATAACTTCCAAGGGGGCATTCTCGCTAGAACACGCCAGCTACAGACCTTACGGTTAGGTTCAGACGGCCGCGCATCCTGTGAATGGCAAGATATCCTTAGGGATCGAATAGGCCCTGGGTTTCTCTACTGGCCTCACTTAAAGGTTCTGGAAATGGACGGGGGAGTATCAGTTCGGGTTACGATTCAACAGAAAGGATTGGTCAAATTCCTAACAGCGCACCGAAATACCTTGACTGATTTGTCAATTAAACGGTTTATTCTTAGAGATATTTATACGACTGGCCAAACAATGTCATCTGAATGGTGCTTCGTCATTGAAAGATTGAAGACTTTTCCGGTATTGAGAAAGTTGGTTTTGAGAGAATTGGGGGAATTCGTGGTCGCGGATCGCGACTGTAAGTGGACTGAGGAGGAACAGCTTTTGGAATGGGAAAATTTGGTTACAAAGAAACAAGGATAGACCTCGTCGTCGTCGGCGTAACGTTTCTCGTTTACACACATGGGGTGGTTTTATGTAAAGTAATAAATACCTGGGTCTGATCATACCCGGAAAACTTATTCATATATCACTTGAGATTTGTTAGACTTGGAACATCGGAGAATAAATAGTAAGTGCTGGAGACTGATAATACACGCAGTATGCATAAATGAGCTAACTACGTGCAGGTAAAACCCCTACTAAGAAATCTTCGAGCTCGAACCTGCCACCAATAATCATCACTCCATCCGCCTTTACGACAGATAGGAAGTGTCCACCCAGCTGGTGTAAGAGGATCCAAGAATGGTTGAAATGCTAACAGCAGCAGACAAGCTACCAGAAAAGCTGGCCTATTTAGGTGAAATGTCTGAGTCAGTAACGATATGAGGTTCTATCAACGGATTTGAACATACACGAGTTCCACTGGCACCAGTCCCGGTATTCCCAAACTCCTTGTAATACACATATTCGGTATTCGCATCTGAGCTGCTCCATACACTCCATCCGGCTGAGTTTATGACGGCTGAGAGGGCAGAATTTTGAAAAACGACCCTCGAATAATCACGCCAGGGTCTTCCTAGGTACTGTGTACCAGCAGTAACAGTATATCCAGACGCTGCAGCGACGGTGCTAGATCATTCAAAAATTGGTCAATGTCTATAAAAATCAACCAAACACCGGAACGATTGTTTTTATACCATTTGTTAAAAACGTAGTATGATACGTTACTCTCCGAATCACGGCCATTGGCTGTTACCCAACCATTGGCTTTAACACGAATATCGACACCGTCAAACCAAGCCCTTTGTCGTTGACCGAAGATAAAGTCGCTGAATTTAAATTATGAGTTAGTAAGCTCCCACTTAAAACTTCAGAGGCATGCTATATATGAGAACTCACGTTGCACCGTCTATGTAACTTTTGGCGTAGACCGCAAACCCTTCATTTGCAAGAACGGTATCTGAAAGTTTGTGAGGTTAGTTGTGAGTATTCAAGCGATAAACTTCTCAGAAGCGATATGTAGTTACTCGCCTTGGTAGCCTGTCAACTTTACCCCATAGAAACCTTGCTGGTCGCCCTGGGAGCTCAATGCAACAGCCTGCGATCCCTTTCCTATTGATCAATGTTTAGCAGTGATAGGTATAAACTTCGTCAACCTCAATACACACCTCTTGTGTTGGCAATGTTGATATTATAGATCTTCAACCCAACCGCAAAGGCACGGATTGTAGCTGTGGCGTCATTATTGGCCGAGTCGTCCTGACTCTTCCCCTGGGTAATAGTCACAGTGTTCGATGTATATGAAGTTGTATCAGTTGTTTCTCCGTATATCGTAAGTTGTGCAGCTCGAGCCGGAATGTAGACTTGTTCTGCATATGTTCCAGCATAAATGAAGATACACTGAGCTGCCGAGGAAGTCGTGGACAATGAACTAACAGCCGATTGAAGCTATAAAACGTATTTCTGGTCAAACTCATTTCAACGCTGACATTGGGGGCATGAGTGGTCTGGGATATTGTAAGGCACGTACTGTAGAGTATTGACCTGAAGTAGCGCTAGGTGAGACGACTATACAACCAGTGGGCGGTGAGGTTCTTGATGCAGCAAGTACTAACTGGGCGAACGCTAGAAAGGCAATCTGTGAAAACATCATTTTCGGCAGCTTGTTTTATCTTCTGTGCTTAATGAATCTACTGACAGAAACGAGAATTGGCTCGTTTTATAGTTCATCCGTTCACCTAGCAGCCCTCTCTACATTGGACCATGGAGAGAAACGTCCGGAAGCCTATCCCGACATGCAATGAATATATATCGGGGGGTTCCTCCTAACCCGAGGCGATCTACCCCAGATCCAAACCCCGTGAGGCCAAGAATTAATAAATGGAAATTAAGCGTGCCCCAGCGCACGTTATCTGCAGTGTTTTATGTTTTGTGGGGTACCTATTCAATACTTCTCAACTATGGTTCTTCTACTAAGGCATGTCCTTTTGTGTCTCAAATACACACTTCAGGTACTGAACGCGGACATAGTTGCCTCGAAGCACAGCCTAATCCGTCCTTGGCATTTATTTGATCCGGATAGAAGAATCAATTGTGCCGGTACTCGTTGTAAAACAGGGTGTAATTGATACCGAGGTCGGTATTTCGCACAATGGTTGAAGCAATAGTAGACAATCTTATTGCTTTGTCATGCATCTAGTGGCCAAGCCATTTCTTTCGAAACAAGCCTCTCATGTGGTAGTACATGACCAAATCCCGATAAGACCTAGCCTATTACTACATGGAGCATTCCATAGCTCCTGGCCCTGTTGTTTCATGTCATAGCTCCTCACTCGGTACGTCATCATCATTAAATTCTCCAGGATCGGAACTGTTCCACGCGTAGTTTTGGTAAGTACCTCCACAAGCCTTTCAAGTATATCCAAGTCTCATACCGACAGGCTTCATGACTAAACTAAAGACTAGGCTCCATCAATATTCTTCTAATTCGGGGATCTCCCCTGTATTTCGAGAAATTCATGGCCATGTTTAAATTTTCTAATGAGGACATGTACATACGCATTTTAGTATCCCAATACATCAGGACAGAAATATTTAAATAATTACAGCGATAGCCATTCCTCAGAAGGATCCTGAGAATTACATGATACTCAAGCTAGGAAATATTTACTTATATGAAATAAAATAATATACTACTCGCCGACCCCCAAGAGCGCTGCTACTTGTACTTTATTTTCCAGTGATCCAACCCTTGAGTTCAATTGATCTAGTGTTCCATTAGCCCCATACATGTACATAGTCATATTTATTTTTGTTTAATTCATTAATTGCATTGTACATAGTCATATGAGTGATATAGTAGCAGCTTTAACATGTACATCATCAGATACAAGGATAAACTACTTGTACCTGTGTATATAACATTGAAGAGGTACCATCCTAGCTCTTGCGCTTGTGCCAATTAATCTCACAGAGAGCGTTAATATCGTTTTGCGCGGACAAGCACAAGAAATATGATCGGTCCTCAAATCATGAATACACGTATCTTGGAGAAAAACAGCCCATAAACGCCCACCTACCTCTATACACGTGGCTGGCACGGACGCATTGTGAATTTCAATTCACCCCGTCTCACACAGAGGCTCATAGCTTTAAATTTTACGATAAATCCGGGTATACAAGCCTAGATATCCCGTTGAGATTTAGAAGTATCAGCCGAGTGGCCCTTTGCAGAAGTATCATCTTGCACTGCAAGATCTAATTAATAAACTCACTTTTCTTGATAAGATCTTGGAGATTAAATCCTTCTAACAAAATTAAGTCGTCGAGCGACTTGTTCTAACCTATCTACACACCATATTCTAGAGTACTTAGTAAAGTCTGCACTCAGAGGTTTATCTCGGTAGAGAAACATTTACATTAGCGAAAGGTACCCCAGTATCGTTGGTTCATAGATTATAGACATACTTTGGATCCAACAAATAGGCAGGCATTTTTTCCACTTCCTCCCAGTTACTCACCTAATGTTGGTTTCACCAGCCGTGTCCTCTGACTAAACCTTTTCTGCGGAATCCGTATAAATGAGCCCAGGGAAGATTTGTAAGCTTATTCACATCACCTCTGCTGATAAGAAAAGCTATCGGTAGCGGGAGCGAGAGGAGGGATTTCCGTTGAGCGTGTGGCATGGTCGTGCGTCCAAGGGATGATAGAGGAAGAGGTTTTGCAGTGAATAGTGTTATGCTCTATATACTAGCGGCTCTGTTAGAATTGAGCGATACATGTAGTTCGCTAAAACTATATTAGGACATCCTCGATGTTTTCGGCATACTTGCTGTTTCTAGTGGTTGGTTGGGCTAAGGGCGAACCAGATGGGATTGGAGGAATCGGGCCTGATATAGGGCTGGCGTACTTAAAGTTGTAGGTGTTGTGATTGTGATCCCCACGAAACACTCAAGGGTGATTAATATTTCGATAGATGCGTAATTGTTGTGGTAAAGTGAAGAGTCATTGTATATCACTCGTAGCTAAGCTTTTTTGTATTTCCTAATATGGTATAGTGTAGTCTTGTCTAGATTGTCATATTGAACCTACTACGAAGTGCGACTCCGCTCATGTTTCTTATCATGTATGTGCCAACATACATTGTAGAAATAGACCACGGCTGAAGTTCTCGGGCTCAAGATTTGTGGCTTCTTATCCTCGAGAAATCGTGTGACCTAAACCTTTGTCACCACGGGAATGATGCACGTGGGGCCTTGTATAACTGCTATAAATATACAGCTCACGGTGCTAGTAGTGGCCATTGATAATTGCATGTATGGACATGAAAGCTGAAACAGTCACTGCATGTAAGGTACAAATATGGGCATAGGAGAGGGAGAAAGGGGGGGGGGGGGAGGGAGGGGAGGGGAGGGAGTTTGCTTGAGATAAAGGGGGGGGGGCTTTAGTAATGCGAAATATGGGTATATACGGATGGATAAATTCGATGTTACCAAATTATGACTAGTACGCGTTGAACGGAATTCCATCAGCAAAGCACCATCTATAGAAAAGCCCGAATATGAAGATCTAAAGGGCTTAAAACTTCAAGCTGAAGAGAGACCGAAGGGCTCAGAAAGCTAGACCTGTGGGAAACCCAGAGGGCTCGTGAGAAGATGATCCCAGCCAAGGTCTCAAGTGAAGTTTATATAGATAATCTAGTTTTTGACCGTTTTCTGATTTAGAGTTTTTATAAAGTGGAAAGCAGGGATGAAGGAAAATTAAGCATGAAAATGAACACCTCCTCCGATGTTAACGGATATCTATTAGGCATGTTAACATGGCCGTCCCCAGTCACTGCCTGTCATCCAAATCAAACTGCTCAAACGACCTTCAAGCGCCTCTATAGACTTTTCACCGTACCCTTGAAACACGCAGAAAGACACCATCTAAGACGACCTTTTCAGTCTCTCGCCAACAGTCTTGGTGACACCACCGGCAGC